TTAGATAGATGCAAGCCTAAGGTAATGGAAGCGCATCTAGACATACTATTCAATAAGACAAGAGTTACGTCTACATAGTTTAATAGATTAGAAGCTTTTAGATAAATGCTAGCCTAAGGTGTCAAGATCCCATCTCCCAGACAAAGGATATGTCTACATAGTCTTATAGATTACCTGGAACTATTTTATTTAAGTATATCTGTCATCACCTACCGGGGTATATTAGAATAACATTACTTCAATTAAGACTCATTAAGGATTAGCCCCCATACAAGCTTGTCTATAGTGCATTAAGGATTAGCCCCCATACAAGCTCGTCTATAGGGCATTAAGGATTAGCCCCCACACAAGCTCATCTATAGTGACACCCTAATCTCTTTCTAAGCATCCAGTAAATATGTCAACAAGATTAGTGCCAGTCCAACAGGATTAACAGGATTTAGTATTCCCCTCTGTCTAGCCATCCATTTAGCTTAGGACACAACCAATCGTGTATTAACCAATCACATTCCTTTTTATTGTTCAAATTTTAAATACATACTGTAGCCAAGTTTTAACAGAGAAGGGGTTTGACTCTCTTACCACGCAGACCTCTCTCCCACAGCCCAGAGTGTTTTTCTGACTCTCTGTGGCACCTCAGTTATTATCTAAGTATAAATTGTAAATTGTTAATTGTTCTTGTAAATAAAATTGTGATAAGTCTCCTGCGACTCTGGCTTTTGCTGACTAATTCCCCAAGAAAACCAGCACATCATTTGGAAGGTATTGTTCACCCAGAACAGTTCCATGATAATGTCATAAAGATATCCAAACTTTTCTTGTTTAGTATTTGTTGTTTGTGACATTTTAAAATGTAAGTATAAACGAATTTCAGACACCAAAATAATTAGAATTTTGAATTTTGAAACATTCATGGCTATCATTTTTGCCAGTATGTTAGATGCACCACACAAAACAGGCTGCTGTCCAAGTTTATTATATGAAATCAGAACACACCATGTCAGCTGTGAGAAAATATTCACGGCTGATATGCTATCTCTGCAGTACAACCTCATCTGTGACACCAAAACAATTGTTACATGGCCCAGCATCCTGACCACGACATACCTACACCCTCATTGTAACAAAAACAGGATATAGCATCAGCAGCACAACCCTGTATAGCATCAGCAGTACAACACTGAATAGCATCAGCAGTACAACACTGTATAGCATCAGCAGTACAACACTGTATAGCATCAGCAGTGCAACGCTGTAAATCATCAGCAGTGCAACGCTGTATAGCATCAGCAGTACAACCCTGTATAGCATCAGCAGTACAACGCTGTATAGCATCAGATGTACAACGCTGTATAGCATCAGCAGTACAACACTACATAGCATCAGCAGTACAACACTACATAGCATCAGCAGTACAATGCTGTATAGCATCAGCAGTACAACGCTGTATAGCATCAGCAGTACAACGCTGTATAGCATCAGCAGTACAACACTATAGCATCGGCAGTACAACGCTGTATAGCATCAGCAGTACAACACTGTATAGCATCAGCAGTACAACACTGTATAGCATCGGCAGTACAACGCTGTATAGCATCAGCAGTACAACACTGTATAGCATCAGCAGTACAAGACAGGACCTTCAACCTTAGCAGTACAACACTGGGCCTATAGTCTCAGCAGTACAAACAGTGGGCAAACAGTGTCAGTAGTACAACACTTGGTATACAGTGTCATCAGTACAACACTAGGTAAACAGTGTAAGCAGTACAACACTGGGCCGTCAGCATCATCAGTACAACACTGGGCCTATTGTGTCAGCAGTACATCACTGGGCCTACAGTGTAATCAGTACAATACTGGACATACAGTGTCATCAGTACATCACTGGGCCTATTGTGTCAGCAGTAAAACACTGGGCCTATTGTGTCAGCAGTACAACACTGGGCCTATAGTGTCATCAGTACAACACTGGGCCTATAGTGTCAGCAGTACAACACTGGGCCTATTGTGTCAGCAGTACAACACTGGGCGTATAGTGTCAGCAGTACAACACTGGACCTATAGTGTCAGCAGTACAACACTGGGCCTACAGTGTCAGCTGTACAACACTGGGCCTATAGTGTCAGCAGTACAACACTGGGCATACAGTGTCAGCAGTACAACACTGGGCCTACAGTTTCAGCAGTACAATACTGGGCCTATAGTGTCAGAAGTCGACACTGGGCCTATAGTGTCAGCAGGACAACACTGGGCCTACAGTGTCAGCAGTACAACACTGGGCCTATAGTGTCAGCAGTACAACACTGGGCCTATAGTGTCAGCAGTACAACACTGGGCCTACAGTGTAAGCAGTACAACACTGGGCCTATAGTGTCAGCAGTACAACACTGGGCCTACAGTGTCAGCAGTACATCACTGGGCCTATTGTGTCAGCAGTACAACACTTGGCCTACAGTGTCAGAAATACAACACTGGGCCTACAGTGTCATAAGTACAACACTTGGCCTATAGTGTCAGCAGTACAACACTGGGCCTATAGTGTCAGAAATACAACACTGGGCCTATTGTGTCAGCAGTACAACACTGGGCCTACAGTGTCATCAGTACATCACTGGGCCTATTGTATCAGCAGTACAACACTGGGCCTACAATGTCAGCAGTACAACACTCGGCCTATAGTGTCAGCAGTACAACACTGGGCCTACAGTGTCAGCAGTACAACACTGGGCCTACAGTGTCAGCAGTACAACACTGGGCCTACAGTGTCAGCAGTACAACACTGGGCCTACAGTGTCAGCAGTACAACACTGGACATGCAGTGTCAGCAGTACAACACTGGGCCTGTAGTGTCAGCAGTACAACACTGGGCCTATAGTGTCAGAAATACAACACTGGGCCTACAGTGTCAGCAGTACAACATTGGGCATATTGTGTCAGCAGTACAACACTGGGCCTACAGTGTCAGCAGTACAACACTGGGCCTACAGTGTCAGCAGTACAACCCTTGGCCTACAGTGTCAGCAGTACAACACTGGGCCTACAGTGTCAGCATGTCCGCATGTCCAGATGTGCTTTAAATTGCATCTGAAATATATATAATATATGGGGAAATATATGTGAACCATTACGCAACGAGTTGACAACTGTTTTAGGTATGACTGTTTGCGCAAAGACAGAACCCGGTCGCAAAAATGGTGAGGGGCATGAGTCGCTATCGGGTTGTCCCGGAATAACACGATTTGGTCACGAATGTCGCATTCGTAACCAACTCGAGTTATTCCGGGACAAGCCGAATAGCGACTCGTACCCCTCTCATGGCCATTTTTGCGACCGGGCTCCGTCTTAGCGCAAACGGGCATACCTTAAACAATTGTCAACTCGTTGCGTAATGGTTCACATATATTTCCCCATATATTATATACATTTCAGATGCAATTTATAGCACATCTGGACATGCGGAATTATACAGTATGATTGAAGACATTTAGATGCAAGACAAATGTAAAATCAAAAATTATTTCTGAGGGATTCTTTGATGAACAACTTGAAATGAAACGCGCATTCTGATTGGTTTGTCGTATTTTCGCACATAACATTCATCGATAGGGGGACGAGTCTTCTTGCAGGTTACGGAAAGGCGCGAGTGGTGACGAATGCGAATGTCGGTCACCACTGCGCCGAAATGGGGTTATAGCTAAAACGGCACCTCAGCAAAACGTCACCTGGCGAAAACGTCACCGATTGGCGAAAACGTCACCTCGCCTCAGACGAAAACGGCTACTATTGCCTGGCGAAAACGGCACCCTATTTTTTTTTAACCTTGATAAAATAAATGAAATGAAACTAACATGGTCGCTTGCAAACACCAATAATTGTGAAATGTTACAACTAGTTTACATTAGAATTTAGCCTCTACTCCAACTATATTCCAACTTAGCCTATACGCAACTCAATTTATTGTGAAAACAATTTACTCGCCGACTCTGATTGGGAGGCGCAACTAACTTATTGTGAAATCATCATATGCTTTGAAGTAACATAAATGAAATTAAACTCACAGAACTTAGCCTCTACTCCAACTATATTCCAACTTAGCCTATACGCAACTCAACTTATTGTGAAAACAATTTACTCGCCGACTCTGATTGGGAGGCGCAACTAAGGTATTGTGAAAATATCTTAATGCTTTGAAGTAACATAAATGATGTGACGTTTTGCTGAGGTGCCGTTTTCGCCTGCGCCCGCCGGAATGTATGGCTGAGCTTGTCAAAATGTGTGTTTTTATTGCAAGTTTAAGGCCAGGCTGCGCACATATGTACATGTAATGACTGTCTAGTTACTTTTTATAATAGGTTGTATACCTGTAAGCTGGGCCCCGTCTCTAATATCGCAAGTTGACGACGCGCATAGGGAGCCGGGACCCAGCTTATATTACCTGGAGAAACAGACTATAGAAATCTAGCGCATGCGCACCCCATGACAACATGTCGATCCGGCAATCTTTGTAACAGAAAGTGCACTGTTCCGATGTCTGTTTTTACAGACAGTTATGGTGATACAATTATGACAGGCACGTGTATCAATAAGACAATAATAGGGGAGTATAGCGATATCAATCTTTCGGCCACAAACCCACGGGAAATATACATTTTTTTAATCTCAAGAAAATACGAGTGCATGGTAATCGGCCCACACAATCTGTGTCTCGGGATTGACGTAGGGCTAGGAGTCAGGTAGGGGGTCGTATCTTGACTTTTTGACCACATCGCGGCTCACGGCTACAGCTACTTTGACTGTGAATTTGATGTTTTCATTTTCCGTACTGCCCCCCCCCCCCCCCCCCCCCCCCCCCCCCCGTGCGATAACGAAGACGTAAAATACATCTAGATAACGGCAATACTCCACTGGACTGAATGGTAACACTGTCCGTTGCCTCGAAAGTGTCAGTGAACAACAAGCCGATATACAGACTACCACATATCATTAGAAATACACACCTACCTTCCAACCACAACCAGCTTCTGACTTCGTGTCGCAAGTGGGTGTTTTATGCCCACAGCTCTCAGTTCGTGGAAATCACCTGATCACCTGACAAATGAGTGTTCATTGCGATAGACAGTGTGTCAATTGTGAAAAGATCAAATCATTTATGTCATTTTCATCTTATATTTTTCGTTTGTGTTCGTGAAAAATGCACCTGTTACAAATTAAGGGTAGTTATAATTCAAGGGGACGTGTTTGCTGCTGCACAAGAACGATATATTCGCCTGTTTGTGAAGACCTCCCGCCTTACTTTCGGTTTGGAACTTCCAGGAAATCCGAAACACACATGACGTAAGTGGTTATCCGATAAGTAAATATAGCAACTAGGTATTCTGATATTGTGCCCGAGTCACGCGTGGCATTCCCACTTCAAATATCACGTAGCATATGCATTGAATGTGACAATTTCTACCTGGTAGCTATTCAATGCACCCAGTTTACTAAAAAAAAAGGTACCCACCGTTATCAGTGGCAGACACCCCTTTTTTATGAAAACAAACGTTAACTACCGTGATAACATGTTGATTTGGTGTTTAAAGTAATATTAATTATTATGAATATTACTTTAACAACCAAGTCAACATTAATTTACATATCGTGTTTGGGATTTTTTCACCCCCATCCGAAGGTTCAATTGGCCAAAGTGGACCCCCCCCCCCTCCCCTTTTAAAAAAAAATCCTGTCCCAGGTAATTGTGTAATTAACAACTTCTTTAGCAAGGTTCCTTACACCCTGGATCAGAGATCGAGTTATGAAAATAACAACTGGGACAGCCCGGCGCATAACAGAAAGGGACACATCGGTATGGTATTTGGGTTTTAGGGCGACTTGGACCTTTAAAGATCTATGTGGGCCCAACACATCAAATGTCTTTTTACATTAAGTGAGTAAATGATCATTAACCAATCTATTTCATGATCTAATTTATATATTCAAAAAGCAAGTGATCACTATTTCATTTCTGAATAGTAAGAACCCATTCCATAGAAACAGATCAGACAAGAACGGAAAACCGTTAAAATGGCTTAAAGGTCTACACACAAATTATTTACAGAAATCAGATTTCTACACAATATCAAATAAGGGATACAGGGATAACACAGGTTATCTCCCTTTGACCAACAGGCATTCCGTTGTCGAATAAGTCTCCGCGCACGTTTATCAACTTGAAAGACAAATCTATCATTATGATAGACGTCAGTTATCTCAGATCAACTGAGGTATGACGTACACGAGTTTACATGTACAAACACTTGTCATGAGACCCGTGAAGATCCGGGATAGAATAGGTCTTCAGCAACCCATGCTTGCCGTAATAAAAAGTGGACTATGCTTGTGGTAAGAGGCGACCAACGGGATCGGGTGGTCAGGCTCGCTGACTTGGTTGATGCATGACATCGATCCCAATTGATTGATGCTCATGATTTCAATCACAGGATCGTCTTGTCCAGACTCAATTACTTACGGACCGCCGTCATATAGCTATAATATTGCTGAGTGCGGCGTTAAAGAACAAACAAACAAACAAAATACTTGTCGTGACGGATTCACCTGGGTCGTACAGGGGTTTTAAGTTACAGAAAACAAGCTCTGTTTGATTTGCAACGGGATATTTTAACCTTCCTTGTCGCTTTGCATGCATTAATTAGTTCTGAAGGTATATGCAGGTTTATCAAGCAGTGAATGACTTAGTAAGTAGAACACCTGCGCTGGGTACAAGATAACGGCAATACTCCAGTGGTTTGAATTGTATCACTGTCCGTCACCTCGAAAGTATCAGTGAACAACAAGCCGATATAGACTACCACATAGAACCATTAGAAATACACACTTACCTTCCTACCACAACCAACTTCTGACTGTACCTGTCGCAAGTCGGTGTTTTAATATCCACACCTGTCAGTTCACCACCGTCATATTGCTGGAATATTGCTGAGTACGGCGATATACAATGAACAAACATACAAACAAACAAACAAAACCTATCAGCTTCTGACTGTACCTGTCGCAAGTCGGTGTTTTAATATCCACACCTGTCAGTTCACCACCGTCATATTGCTGGAATATTGCTGAGTACGGCGATATACAACGAACAAACATACAAACAAACAAAACCTATCAGCTTCTGACTGTACCTGTCGCAAGTCGGTGTTTTAATATCCACACCTACCAGTTCACCGCCGTCATATTGCTGAAATAAAGCGGCGTTATACAACAAACAAACAAACAAAAAACTACCTGTTCGAGGACCCGCGAGTGTTCATTGCAATAGACAGTGTGTCAATGTTGAAAAGATCATCTTTTATTTTCGTTTGTGTTCGTGAAAAAAAGCACTTGTTATACAAAGTGTTATACAAAGTAGGCCTGCATATTGAGACCTCCCGCCTCACTTTCGGTTTGGAACTTCCAGGGAATCCGTTATAAACATGACGTAAGTAGTTCCCCGATAAGTAAATATAGAAATCGAATGGGATAATTTATACCTGCTACAAAGAAAAGTATCCACCGTTATCAGTGGCAGACAACCCTTACCATTCGGTTTGGAACTTTCAGGAAATAAACATGACGTAAGTGGTAAGTAAATATTGAAAGTAAGTCTTCTGATACTTGGCCTGGGTCCCTCGAGACATCCCCACTTCAAAACTCATGTCGGATACATATGAAAAGAATGGGATATTTTATTTTTGTTCTTGTTAGCTATTTAATGCATCCAGCTTTGGAAGAAAAGTATCCACCGTTATCAGTCACGGACCCAGAGGGGTGTGTGTGCGTGACCACCCCACCCCTTTTTTTTTTTTAAATAAGGAAACAAACAACATTAAAAATAACTAAGACAAAATTGTTATGGATGAGCAACTTCTTTATTACAAATGGGCGACGTTTCGGTGTAGATTCTAATACCGTTATCAAGCAAATGATGTACAAACTAGGTATGAGCATGATATATATACATAACAATAGATAGATGTTTATATAACAGATAAGGTTGATGCACACTGATTGATAGGTAGTTGTGATAAACAAGTTTATACAAGAGATAGGGTTGATGTACAGTGATTGATGGGTATGGGATTAACACAAGGATTACTAAGAATGAATGTATGGGAAGCCAGTGGGGAGATAATAGTTCAGTGTTGTTTTGGCGAGCTGATGAGATCATGGTAAGCTGGAGGGATGTAGTATCCTTGATCTCTGTTTATGGCTGGCTGAATTCTTTTGATGTAAATGGCTTCTCTAAATTTTCTGAAACGTCGCCCAATTGTAATAAAGAAGTTGCTCATCCATAACAATTTTGTCTTAGTTACCATTCCAACTTCTAAATGCCACTCAAAGAAACATTAAAAATGTTACCTAGCATGATAACATGTAGATTTAGTTGTTAAAGTAAAATTGATAATAATGGTTCTCATATGTCTTTTGTAAGTCTTCGAGTGGCGATGTGAAACGCGTTATTTTGACCTTCCTTGTCGTTTTGCAAGCATTAATTAGTTCTAAAGACACAATGGCGGGTTGGTCAAGCAATGAAACATGTGTTAACCTCTCCTCGTCGTGTGTTAAAGCAATGCACATGGCTGTTGTGTTTCTCCTTCACCTGTCACTCATGTATTATACGTAAGGTTGCAATTCATGCGTTTTGTTTCAGGTACTTTTGTTTGTTTAACGCCCCACTCAGCAATATTCCAGCTATATGACTGCGGTATGTAAATAATCGAGTCTGAACCAGACAATCCAGTGATTGACACCATGAGCATCGAACATTTGGGATACGATGACACATATCAACCAATACAAGTAAGCAAGCCTGACCACCCAATCCTACAGTGGCCCATACCCGCCACTGGTGAGATCATTTTTCACTGTATGCCTCTATATTTTATCTGACGATCTGACGATTTACTAAATGATCTCACCAGTGGCGGGTATGGGCCACCGTACAATCCCGTTGGTCGCCGCTTACGGCAAGCATAGGTACTGCCCTAAGTTGCCCTTGATTAACACTGGTTAAGTTCGGTTGAATATAGTCAATTCTGTTAGATAGAAATGTGGTAGCCTCGCTGACTCAAATTTTAATAATGGAACGCACCTACTGACCGCCTATCGAATGACTGAATATATAATCCTTTACGTCTCACTGACACTATACGTGAGTTCGATTATTAAAAATTGAGTGGCCGGAGTCAAAATAATAATAACAATTGGAATTTATATCAGAATGCATATATGCTATCGATACCTTGTTAAATATTCATCAAAATATCTTTATTCATGATAGAGTACCGCACCCATGGGGTTCAGTAGGTATGGGCAACTAAGGGACCAGTTCAAAGTTCGATGTCGGATTAATATTAACTTAATTCCTTTAGTTTTGAGGCATTCACCACACCACGCTAAAGGGCTTACAGTAGCAAAAACATGCGCAGGGTAGGAGAAAATGTGATACTTTTAGTCAAAACATGGCAAAATACTCAAACTAAATGTGCAATGTGCAGTGTACGGAAAGACCCCCCCCCCCCCCCCCTCAAAACTTATATAAATTTACATATAGCGTACATGAGGACGGGCGGAAGTCTTACCCAGTGTACTACCACGCCAAAATCTGTATCCATAGGAGTGGTGATACCGATAATTCTGTGTTGTTTAATGCGATAAATTTAACAATGCTTTGGGTTTTGATCATATCCCAGAGTAAAAACATTTTGGACAAGTGTTCTTCATTTTGATAGTTTCTGTGATGTTTTTGCATTGATTTAACTAATTTTGTTATCTTGACTCTCCCCAAAGTTGAAAGAAGTGACACTAAAAGTGAGCAACCCTTTGATTTTGTTGAAGGGATAACGCTAAGGGTATTGGGAGAGTCCATGGGCGGATACAGAGGTAGGGTGCGGGGGTGCGCACCCCCCCCCCCCCCCCCCCCCCCCCCCTTTTTTTATTTCGAAAAAAATCTTTATTTCTGTATAAATTACCACCAAAGACAATAAAAAGATCTTAATTGTGCACCCCCCCTTTTCAAAAAAGCTGTATCCGCCCATGGAGTCACATTTTTCAGAAGCGTTGCCTTGAGCACGCCCATAACCTATGATCGTGGGTCCAATTCCGGTTCGCCCCGATTATGTTTCTAGGTTTGACAGCACCATACCCGTGCTCGTTGGTTTCTCCGGAGTGGTAAACTTCAGAGCCTTGCATCATCACTTCGAGCTTTCCGTCCACATTAAGCTAACACGCCCTGCTATAACTGGAATACTGTGTAAAGCGGCTTTGAACCCAACTCACGTTTTCGTACAGTCGAAGACAAAGGAACCATGGTTTGACTTGGGTTATACTTTGGTCAACACGAGTTCACCTGGGTTTTGAAATCGAACACAAGCACTATCACTGCTGTTCGTGGCGAGACCGCCGCTCGAGCAGACGTCAGAAGCCACATGACCACATTGCACGCGCTGTTTCACGTGCACACACGCACGCGCATTGCCTAGACGTCTGGATGTGTCGATTACATATGGGTGAGTCTGAAAAATGTGTTTTTAACATGCTTTCTCCACGACCATTTTTAGTATACCATGTGGAGATTTCGGAATAGAATAGGTGATGTGAATAAATGGATTGGGGGTCAGGCTCGGTGACTTCGTTGATTGAGTTTCATCGTACCCCGACGGTGTAGGCCGTTGTTTATGTATGATATAAAATACTTGATTGTCTGGTCCAGACTCGATTATTTACAGGCCGCTGTCATATAGCTGGAATATTGCTGAGTGCGGCGATAACAACAAACAAACAAAACTTGGTAGAAGTTCAGTGAATAGAAAAAACCCCTTCAATAATGTGTATGCAAGAGAGCTCGCGATGCGTTTGGCTGTTTTGTTATTTCATTCTCTGCCCAACGCAGTTATGGTCTTGTTTCAATACGCGGCCTCGAAACCCATGAAGATCCGGGATAGAATAGGTCTTCAGCAACCCATTCATGCCGTAAAAGGCGACTATACTCGTCGTACGAGGCGACTTACGGGGTCGGGTGGTCAGGCTCGCTGACTTGGTTGATGCATGTCATGATATCAATCACTTGATTGTCTGATCCAGACTCGCATATTTACAGACCGACGTCATATAGCTGGTATATTGCTGAGTGCGGTGTAAAAAACCAAATCAACCAACCAACGCGGCCTCGAACGAAAAGCGCGAGATGTCTGTAGATTATTCAAATAAAGGAGTCTTTCTCGAACTATTCGAGTAGCTGTGTGAGGTCTCAGTTACTTACTAATGTTGACACCGTCGTTGTTTCAATACATCCAAAATACTGTGGGGCGGTCGGGTAGCCTAGTGGTTAAAGCGTTCGCTCGTCACGCCGAAGACCCGGGTTCGATTCCCGACATGGGTACATTGTGTGAAGCCCATTTCTGGTGTCCCCCGCCGTGATATTGCTGGAACATTGCTAAAAGCGGCGTAAAACCATACTCACTCACTCACTCCAAAGTACTGTGCACAGTTGTACCACCCCAGCAAATGATATTATTTGCATATGACCCGTGTATATCCTGGTTAGAATAGGTCTTCAGCAACCCATGCTTCTCATTCGAGGTGACTATATGAGGCGATTGACGAATCGGGCAGTCAGGTTCGCGGACTTGGTTGTTGCATGTCATTGTAGATCGACACTCTAAAACCTTATCCGGATTTACATTTTACTAACGGCCGTCATTTCAGCTGGAATAGTATGAGCGACGCAAATCAACATTCATCAACGTTCACCAATGCTATGGACAGTTAACACGGATCAACTTGTCAAAACAATAACTCAATAAATGTTTTTTTAAAGATGTATCACGAAAAATAAACTAATTAAGTGTAAAAGCATTTATTGTCTGACATAAATGTACACATACACATATTGTTGTTATGTTAGTGTTGACATAATCACCACAGACAACACTATACAAACTAACATTATCACAGATAAATAACATGAAGTTTCGGCAATGTTCCAGATATGTTCTCCCAAAGCTATGACGAAAGGTGACTGGTTATATATATCCTGTAAGATGAACTGTTTCAACAACTATCTAGTTTGTTTTTTCACTTACGGTCCAGTACATTTTCAAAGTCTTAATTTGTTCATCACCGTTTTTAAAATACTGGGTTATGTAGGACGATTTTTCCATATTTTTCCTCTAGATTTCTATATGTTAACGAAGAAGTGATAGTTTGGTTTATTATGTTTCCTTTCAGATTCTACATGTAAGCCTATTATACTTTCTGCATTACCACAATAAACAGCTGACATGCGGGTTTCATAAAAATTAATACAACGTATAACTTTCATTTGTTACATGAAGGCGGGTCGGTAGGAATCGAGATATTCGCATGGCCTTTAAAGTTACTAATAGAAGACATAATTACTATTCAACAAACAACACGGCGGAAATACGAGGCTTTTCAGGTTGTGCTTAAGGGCGATAACTCTTTCTGGCCTAATCGGCAAAGTTGATAATGACTTCCTGACATGCAGTCGCGGATTTTCTTAAACAAAAGTAAAAGGTGACTGACAAACTGAGTCTTCTATGTACACAGCAAATCACTTGTCAGGACTGATCTGGGTATTTGGATGCCAATCAAATCGGGTCAAATCGCAAAATACCTGTCTTTTTCAGACCGTTGTTCATATCTAATGGAAAATGAAAATAAAAAGATACTATGACCTGTGTTAAAAAAACACTATAATTCCATTTTAAATCGGAAATTTTAAATTTATTAAGAACACCCATGTTATCAACTTTATCGCATTACATTTCCAGATTAACGTCTTTAAGGATCATAGAGGAGTTTTAAGTAATGTGCGAAAGAATCACAATATAATTTTCAATACTATGACAAATATTTGGGTTTTTGAGTATAGATTATGGAGTGCAAATATGGGATCAATATATACTAATATGAGAAAGTCAACATTGTTCATAACAATACAATACAAAAAAAACAACATTGCTTCGTTATATACATCACAGCCATATAGATGAGTGAAAAGTTGTTGCTTAACATACTGCCCTGTATAATAACTTTAACATGTGTAAATAAATCAACAATATGTGTTGTATGTTAATCTTATGACGACCAAACCTCCGCGCCTCCTGGTCCAGAGGAGGGATAAGCGAGTTGGGTTTAACATGATACCGTAAATCCTTTAATAAATACCCGCATTAAAAATAACTCCGGGTCAATCGAAACAAAGAAAAAAACGCCTGCTATAAATACAATGGCCCAGCGTTAGATGAAACCGATATTTTTAAACACCGAGAAGAGTTATTTGAAATAATCTGAAAATAAGATTAACCCCTTTCTCGTATTGAAGGATTTACGGTATTTAGCTACATTGCAACCGTCTGAAGAGACCTGAAAACTCGGGTTAAAAAGGAAGGCTATAAGGTATATAGCGCGCAGTGGTACGGTTACATCGATGACCCATTGCTGCAGGGACTAAAAGGAGGAACGCTTTGTGACAATCATTAATAATTTAATTAGCGGGAAAAGAGCACTTGTTAGTTTGAGATTTACAATAGTGCCATGTAACGTAAGACCAGTCTGTATGCTTTATTATTGAAGCATAATTTGTGCGACATGTATTTTGGGAGGCCTGAACGTTAGGCCTAAGAAGAAACGGTTGGTAAAGAGAAGAAGAAAAAAACTTATGCATGCTTAGAATCTCTGATTGCAATTTTCCACATTCCGTCACACGAAAACTGGTCACGCTACAGTTTAATCTGCCGGTATGTATTATTCATAGTCCATTGACTGAGAGTCCAATAGGTTGTTCCTCCCAACTCGGTAATTGCTGGTTAAGAAGATATATATATACTTAAATTCAATATTTATACGATTGTTGTTACTTATTGGCCCTCATGGTCTCAATTGACGGTGTCGCACCTTGCACGTGTTCCTTGTTCAGCTACCACACCGGAAGTGCTGACATTGGTTTGGTGCGCAATGGACACGCTGACCCTGTCCTGAAGCCAAGTGTTACGATTGTCTCTGAACAAATACAATATATTTTTGGCTGCAATACCACATATTTTTTAATCATAACTATGAGCCAAAATACATTTTCTAAAAACACGTTGCAACAATGTCATTTTCGTGGCAGAGAATTTCATTTTTTCTAACTATTTTTTCGATACACCCCAAAATTTAAACAATCGGCGCGAAATGGGATTCTGAAGCTCAGAGCAATTAATATGTAATATTTCAGTTATTTGTATAACCTTGATTATTATCTAGCATTAGGTAATATCAGTTGACTGTAAGCCTACCTTGAAACAGACGCGTCCGAATACAGAAACTGCTCTTGATATTACGAAAGGAAGAGCAGAAATTCGTGACGCACAACATACTTTGTGGATCGGTTGTAACTTGGAGACCCTGTTGTACCTTGGCTAGAAAGTCCAAAATAAACTATCGATGTTGGTGGAATACTGACCAAAAAACGCGGCTGAAATGAAGACGTCAGATGTTTATCTATTTGACAATAGCGTATATTATCCTATCCCTTTTTCACCAACATCTGGCTATTTATTGGTGGAGACACGTGATTCAGCAGTCAAAGATACAGATTTATCTTGCTTGGATGACCTTGTGGTCGTTTACAGATGTGTAGTTGACGATGGGGATTTGGAATCGAAGCTAAGCAGGATTTCTCACAACGCCCGTGCATTGATTCGGATTCAAGGAAAAAACGTTTTCTGAAGAAATTTTATGAAGTCGAAGTGACTTCTCGAGAAGGTACTTATGCATGTGTTTTGGAGTTAAAGAGGCACAGAGCACGTCAGAGGGTTCACGTGTAACATGTAAATATATATCAGTCTCAATTATCTGCAAACCAGATTCAATTGGGAGTAAAAGGCAAAATAGAGGTGAAAATTTTATGAATGGATCACTGAAAATCAGCGATGACACCGGGTGTCGCGAAAAGGGTAGATATCAAATAATGGTGTGACCTGTGACCTATATTATGCCAGGCCAAAGCGGTACCATTATATATTTTTCTAAACTTTAACCCGAGTTAGCACTAGATGTCTTCAGTGTCTGTGGTTAGTTTATAAATACTGACATATTCCAGCCCTTTGACTTATTATATCACCTAATATGTAGGTTGTGGGTTGCTCTGTGAAATGTTAATATCAGTAATATCAAACGGAAACACCAAGAATCTTGACCGATGTGTATCCTAGACACCATTTCATCTTCAGGAACAGAGACTAATGTTATGTAATGTGTATAAAAAATTCATCGTACGCGTCAACTAAAACATAGTTTACAGTTTTGAATATTTGTTGTTAAGGGCGGTCAGCAATGTTTGGTTCTTTCCGATAAAATATCCGGTTTGACTGTTTTGTCTATGAATGCCGATATTGTCCCTTGTCCTACTGTGGTTGCTGACCCGTTTTCAGCCTACAGACAAAATACGGTGAACGTCTGTTAACCTGGTCATTTTGAAAATAACCTTCTGAGATATCAAAGATATTTGAGTTCTTTATAACGCCCCAAACTACGCAAGTCTGTGTGGTGTGGAAAGGTCGAGTGCTCCTAGGGGATTCAAGGTAGATGGAGCTTCATCCAATGCATAAGTTCCTAGTAAATTTCCCAGGAGATTTGCCCTCCCATCTCTCAAATCAATGTGTTTGAAGTCCACTCCCGGCTCAACCTTTGATATATAATTTAAAAACTAACATCAGTTGTTGCCAAACCTCCTAATTCTCAAAGAGGAGGCGTGCCTACGCATCAATCAAACCGAGATACCTGTTCAGTTGACGAAATATGATGTAAAAAGGACGGTATTTGATGCCAGGAAACTTCTTAATACACGAATCCGAAGTTCTTCCATCGGTACTTGACGCCCTCGCGCTTCTGGAGTTCCAGCCTCTTGGCGTGAAGGACCTCGGAGATCCACTCTTTGTGGACTGCGAAGGTCATGGGTCGTCGCGGGATGGTGTTGAAGAAGAACGTCTCCATGTTCTCCATGTAGGTGACGGGAGGCTCTGGCGCTAGTTCCGGCTCCACACACTTCACGGTGTAGGGCAGCCGCTTGGCAATTTTCCTGAAGGGAGAATGGTGTGGTTGATATGTGTTCAGTATGTGTTCATCAGATATGTTTGTCCAGGGGTCGAAATTCCTTGTACTAGAGGCCAGTGACACAGTTAAAGTCGAAATGACAAGGTTACATGTTCCCGGAGCCCGAAATGCTCACGTGGACATCCTTTTGTAGTAAAAACGACGTTTATCATATGAAACCTGTTATAAATGCACTTTCTTATCACAGGTAAACTGGACAAACACAAGGCTGATGATAAACACATGAACAAGGCTAATTAACATTATTCATAAAAATATACCTGGGCATTTAGCAACTGATTTATCAACAGTCAATAATAAGGGGCAACGTGTTACTGCTTATTATCTAGCTCATAGTGAAATAAATATCAGAGTTCATAGATGGTGCAAAACTAGTCTTGTTGGCACATTTAAATTCCAATTTTCGGACTCGGAATCCCCATTGGTGAGGCTTGATAGAAATTAATTATTAACCTGAAATCGTTCAAGACGTGCTTGGTGCTGAGATGTCGGATGCTGATATCATGTACAGGGTTATATATAGTAATTAACTCAATATTATTTAGGGTCATTTAAGCAAACGCACAAACTCGCTGTTTGAATCATTAGATTTAGGACTGCCTGTGTTTCCTTCCGGAACCGATAGTCGTTCTCAAACATATCCTTTGACTTTCGCGAGTATATCATCTCAATACGTATTTATATTCCTGTTGACATCATAGTAATACTGGGGGCACGGCTGGCCCAGATATCTGAGGCGCCGCGATTCGCTGTGCAGAGTTGCGTCCTTTGCGCACGCCAGAAACCTATGATTGTGGGTTCGAATCCCAGTTCGCCCCGATGTTTCTAGGTTTTTCAGCACCATACCCGTGCTCGTGGGTTTCACCGAAGTGGTAAACCGCTGAGACCTGCATCACTTCGGGCTTTCCTCCCACATAAGCTGACACGCCGTGATATTACTGGAATACTGTTAAAAGCGGCGTTAAACCCAACTCACCCACCCACATCATAGTAATACATGCATCATTAACGTCATTTTCATTTGTGTGCTTTCACCTACAAAGACGTAATCATCCTGTACTTATCGCCTTCACACAGGCGAGACGGTTAAGAGTAAGTGAGTGATCGCCACTTTTGGACAGTATTTCACTAATTACACGTCGTGATGTTTGAGGAAAGCACGTATTCGCGAAACGACGTGGGTCGAATATCTTCACATAATTTAGAAATCATAAGAATCTAGTGTTTGTTTACTTGTTTGTTGTTTAATGCTGCACTCAATAAGATTCCTGCTATATCGTGGCGGTGTATAAGTAATCGAGTTTGGATTAGACAATCCTGTGATTGATATCATGAGCATCGATCTACTGGATCCGGAAGTAGAATCAGCAGATTCGAGAGATTTCCCTAACTAAACTATTTTATGACTACTTTATAATTTCTCTATAATTTTGCATTATGATCTATAATTGCGTCAGTTGTTAAAATGCATAATCGTTTAACATTTGTGTGAAGCACACGAACACGGTCATGGTACTGACACACAATCACAATCCTGGTGTTCAGGTAAGGGACGCAACTCTTCACTGAGTTTCTTCTCGCACTGTACCAATTTTTGGGGTTGAACCCGTTTTTATGTCGCGTCGAGCCGATGCTTTATCCACTGGGCAAATTGACAAGAGAAATAGAAACATTACTCACTTATATCCATACGGGTTGCCATGAACTTCAGCCATCCAGCCGTACTTCTCCCTCGCCACCTCCCACTCTTCCGCCTCCACGCCCTCATCCGCCGAGTCGGGGTCCTGTGCAGGGGTTTTGGGGCGAAGCACGGGGGTCTTGGGTTTGGGTGGGGATGTGAGTCGGGTCTCTGGGGCAGGGGTAGTGCTCTTGGGGGGCATGGGTGATCTAACCGGTCCAGCTGACTTGACCGGTCGGGTTGGGATTGGGGTCTTCTCCCTGTGCAATGACGCACTCTTGATCCTTGTTCTTTTCATCATCATGTCTGGAGTTTCCGCTGGTTCAGGGTTGGATTTTGGGCGCGGCCAGCTGATCTGAGAACGGTCACTGTGGTCAACTGGAACGTTGGTGGTGTGGTGTACTTCCGGTTTCGTGGTCTTGGGCACGGGCCAGGATACTTGAGTAGAGGCTGTGGAAGGGCGACTTCCTTCCAAGGGATTCTGGGTAGGTGGCGCCACCGTGTAATCCGTTTCCGGCAGGTTTGTGGACCAGCATTGGCTGGGAGTGGGTATATGTAATCGCGGTATTAATTTGAATTTCGGAATTGGAGCGCTTTTAGCTCTTGGTCCCGCGGTCGATTTATTTGCTTGTGACTGTGATGTTGATGCGGGCCTCATTCCGGAAGGTGGCGCTGGGGAATACCCTCTGACCATGAGGGTCGGGGATGGTGGAACCAGTGGCTTGCTCTCGTACATTGTGTCTCGGAACTTGTACAGACATTCTTGCTCTGGAACATTTGTAACCAATGCACATCACAGGGGCACTGACAGCTGATGGGAATGGAACACAAGACACTTGTGTATTCTACTTAAAACACGTTAAGGACAACCCGATTCTTTCATTACTGTAGTCAATGCGTCATGTCATGACAGATTAACTATTGTAATATGTACAAATCAGGTGGTCTTTAACTTTATTTTACTAGTATAACTATTAATAGTAATACCAACAAATCTTAGATGGATCCTCAAACGTTTGCTAGATCTGCTATGAAAGGTATTTAAACGCTTGACTCGATTCGATTCGAATGTTCGATTCCTAACATGGATACAATTTGTAAAGCTGGATACTGATGGAATATTGCTGAAAGCGGCGTAAGACAATACTCGCCCACTTATCAATAAACAAGTTATTTGAATTGTCGTTCTAGTTCAACGTCACGGCGCAATTCACTTTTGGGCAATGGTCCTGCTTGAAATTTTCTACTTCACTAAACATATAGGAAGCTGTAAAATCTTCTTAATTTCCCTTCAAAGGAAATAAAGTGTTCGTTACGTACGGTACTTGTTATACGGTCCCCTTGCATAGACGTCATTGGCGGACGGGTACCAACCATACACCCTCTCCTTCATCCTGGCGGCCAATGCTGGAAACAAAGGGAGCGTATAAGAATGCATATAGGGATATATTTTATCTAATTTACAATATGGGGTACGGCACTATTGTGCTAGTGTGACCTTAAAATAGACGTAAACAGGGAGTTAATTTTGTCTAGAGTGCAATTTCGTGTCTGGCGAGTCTTTGCAGAGTGATAGTGCGGTCAGTGTGTTGGCTATATAGCTGTAAAGATCGATGCCTCTCTCCGGAACGCTTTCACACGATGAAGCCTATTAATGGTGCCGCCGCAGGTCGGGTTCTCCCAAGAACGTAAAACCATTTAATGGCCCACGCAGTATCGGTGAGACGAGTGCATAAATCCGCAGTATCGTGTTAGCTTTCTGTTTTCGAGTCCAATCACACTTTCAACTTTCAGAACTCATCAACATCATTTTTATCCACAGATTTGAAGATTTTTTAAATCATGACAGGAATCAGTAGACGTACAAATACTGCTCAAAAGAAGTTAAGGACCCCCCCGATTCTTTCATGCCACTATGCTTAAATTGTCATGTCATGCCGTGGTCCTTAACTTTGCATACCGTATTCGACGTAATAAGCGCCCAGGGCGCTCTCAAAATTAGAAATAGGGGGCTCTTATTAGAACATCATTTTGGATCAGAGTTGAAACATAAATTTTGTGGTTTATGCTGACAGCCTGAAATGTACGACGGATATATTTTTCCAGAATTAAATTGCCCATAACTAAGGGTGCATATAACACACGAGTACGTATCATACGCGAATAAATTAGTCTTGCTTACATTGAACAATCGGAAGAGGTGCTTATTGGGAATGTTCACTAGCCAATATATTAGCAAATATTGCCGTGGGCGCTTATTAGAGCGGAGCGCTTATTACGTCGAATACGGTAAATGTAGTTGGCCTGTCTGTGTACATGAGTTAGGAGCACGGATATGCCATGTACAGCTGTGAGTTCCTATGCATGACATTGGTTCCGTTTTACACCTGACTTATTCAACGTCGCGTACATACAGCTGTTTACCATCTTTATTCCACTTTATTGTCGTCGGGTGTCTGCTCCGAGACTACTTGAATGTTGACATAATTTACTGCGATGGAGATAAAAAAATCAAGGAGTCTTTTATTGACACACTTGCGAAAAACATACTTCTCAAGGGGAGTTAAAGAACACCCGATTTTGTTCATGTGACTGTTCATCTGTCATGGCTGATGGGGGGCCGTGGGGTAGCCTAGTGGTTAAAGCGTTCGCTCGTCACGGACATGGGTACAATGTGTGAAGCCCATTTCTGGTGTCCCCTGCCGTGATATTGCTGGAATATCGCTAAAGGCGGCGTTAAACCATACTCACTCACTCACTCACGGCTGATGGGCAGTGAAACACAGGCTTCCAACTGTGTGTGTTCTTTCACTTATTTTGAGTAGTATACGTTGAAAACAATTTACGCCTGGCACTTTTTGCCAATTTACAAATTATTGGAATATTTTGATCTATCAAAATCTGGCTTAAAAAAGTTTCTCTGGCATCGGCGCGTCGCTTAAAATCATTTTTTATTGCCCCCCCCCCCCCCCCCCCCCCCCCCCAAAAAAAAAACAAAAAACAATATACATTTCCCACATCATTTGAAGTATCTTTAATCAATACAATCATGTGCTTGACAACTGACATTCTATTAAACAGCCAAGTTCAGTGTGTGCCCAGTTGTTTGTTCGTTGGGAAAAACAGAAAACCTATGCTTGTGGCAAAAGGCGACTAACGGGATCAGGTTTTGAGTCTCGCTGACATGGTTGATGCATGTTACCGTATGCTCGATGCTCATGATATCAATCACTGGATTGTCTGGTCCAGACTCGACTATTGACAGACAGCCGTCATGTAGCTGGAATATTGCTGAGTGCGGCGTTAAACAACAAACCAACCAACCAACCAACCAGTGGTTCAAAGCGTCGGTTCGTTACGCCAATCAAAGTCCTACGTTCTCACTCACTCAATCTCACTCACTCGCTCTCTCCAAAATGGCTCCCTGAATAACCAGAGTAGCTGGAATATTGCTGAGTATGGCGTTTGAGGAGAAACAAATAAACTTATAGCGTTATCTCGGGGGGATGCTGCTGACAAATTAAGAATCCTTACAGGGGCGAAGATAGGATTTGAACCCACAACGATCATGCCAAGAGGACATAACTCTACATAGGGTGTCGCAGCGTCTTCGATAACCGTGCTCAATGTATTTGTTTGAAACCTCTTACCCTTGTGATAACACGAGCAGTAAACTGGTGAGTATTCGAACACTGCACTGTATTTGATTCAGACCTTTAAGTTGTAGAACCGTAAATTCAACATAAACCTATCACAGGGACCTGACCTACTGTTTAGACACCGGGTCCTATACAATTTTATACCATTCGATTTCAAAGCGAACATAAATTTCAAAATTATGAGACATGTCTGCATGGGCTTAGATTGAAGTACTGCATTATTCAAAATAAACACATCACGGCGATATGGTAATAATATTTGATTGCACAGCGCGATGTCGGGATATACTCAACCTCATAAATTACGCACAAAGTATTGTATGATTTATGAGGATACATTGCGGCGTTTATGGAGAGTGGGATTGCTTGTATATGACGTTAACGGCGGCCTGATGAACAGGAAGGGCTCAATGAGCGGTCACTTGAGAGCCTGGACGACAGCTGGGAGGCCGTTAGGAGAAATAATATACTACTCAACTTGTGTTAGGGGTACTGGGATATTGATGCTTGTCGGGTCCAGCAACATCTAAATTGTGATAAATTAATATTGGGGAATGATTTAATAATACGAATATTCCTATCGTGAACCGAACCGTCATTTTGTAAAATATTCATATTTGGTATAAACTTGCCAAGTTTATCATTTTAATTTAAATGACATGTTTAAAAACGAAGTAATTGTTGTTTGCAATCATACTTACTGTTCCTGTATGTGTTGAATATTGCACACCAAAGAATAATTTTTATATGTTTTACATTTTTTTTAAATTTTGTTATCTTTCTTTTTCTTTTCTTTTTCTTTTTTTGTATTGGGGCGGGATGGGTGGGTTGGATTTTACGATCGTTGGCAAGGTGGGAAGAGTGTAATAAAATATGGGGATTAACATCAGCACTAGCTTCGTACCAAAACTAAGCCTAGTGTGTGTGTCACTAAAATGAAGATTCAAGTAATTCATACTGTCATCCAGCAGGAACGCCTGAGAACCACTGTTCCACCAATAATACCCCGTTATAACGTCATTACTAATCAGAGTACTTCCTTGTGAGCTCACGTCCGCCAGATATCCGTGACACCATACGCATGCCTGGGTTGTATTAACCGGAGCTAAAACCGGTATGGTATATGTTCGACTCGCAAAGCAATATTTGTGGACCTCTTAAATCGTTAGATTATCTTTACAACGCTGATATTTACGCTCCTTCTCCCGTGTTGTGTCTTGTGTAAACAAATCGCTAGTTGCTCAGTTCCTGAAGAGTGCGTTTGTCAGACTGACCTGAAGAAGAAGGCAATCGGTGCTTTAAAAACGATCACATGACTAGATGTCTTCTGTGAGGTCCGCGCACGTCAACCTCGTTTTTAGGGCTAACTTAACTGAGAAAGCCAATCAAAGAGAAAAGATCGTGTGGCTGATCGTTTTCTACGAGGTCCGCGCAATCGGATTTTCTTCTCTCGTGCTCGTCTTTTAACTTTATAATATTGATGGAGACATGTAATTGCTTCTCCGATTTTTTAATCTGATACAAGAGCAGATGTCAATACATTGCCTCTGAAAACTCACTAAATGCTAATTTAGAGCGTTAATGGGTCCAGTGGCTTAAAGCTATTCCATCTTTCAGATTGACTACTTGTATTTTTCATAGCAACATAGGATCTCACAGTGCCAAGCCCTCCGTGTATTCTCTACACTTGAGATTCGAGCAAAACAACACCGCCTTTGTTAAAATAACCTCTTCAGAATAGTTGGAAACATGACGTAAAGTTTGTTGAAGGGTATTTGAACGCTCAGCAACAGCAGATGAAACAATCGAGTATATTGGAATCCCTGAATGCTGTGAGGAACATTTCCTGTCACCTTGTATGGACCACCAATGACATTGGGTGAAGTGTTTAACCTCTTATCTTAGTATTTAAGGCCTACAGGTCATTATATAATACCCAAAAGAAGTTTTCGTTTGTTTGTTGTTAAACGCCGCACTCAGCAATATTCAAACTACATGACGATGGTCTTTAAATAATCGAGGCTGGGCCAGACAATCCAGTGATTGACATTATGAGCATTGCTCTACTCAATTGGGATACGGTAAGATTTATCAACCAAGTTAGCGAGCCTGACCACCCGATCCCCTCTTACGACAAGCATAGTTGCCTTTTAAGGCAAGCATGGGTTGATCTAAAAAAAAGTGACAGATTTACAATAGTAATTTGAAAGAATCGGATGCTGTATAACATCTTTTGAGTAGTATTTTGACAACCTCATCCCCAGTCAAGGTGCGACTAACATTATTGTTTAGGGTCCCTTTCAACATTAGGACAATGAAAAAGCTTGTTCCTCCTCACTTTTTAAAAGGACTGGATAGGTTGAAAGAATTTGTATTTTGTTATATTTTCCCACGTTTTCAGCCTAACTTCATTCTTATATTAATTACAATTAATTATACAAACAAGAAAGTAGGTTATATGGCTTTTCTATTGCTGGTCATCAAGATAGGTAACATAAAAAAGTTCAATTTGACAAGACATTCTGGATTGAAACCGACTTTAGGGCGAAAACAAGAAGATATTTATATACATGTAATCTTAAAAGGTCTGTCATGCCATGATTAACTATAGCCCTATGAAAGAATCGGATGTTCCTTAAAATCTTTTGAGTTGTATATAACATATATCTAAACTACTTCATTCTAAACAATACAACTATTTTCCTGTCTCCATGGCAACACGTGACCCCTAAGGTCTCCACCGTGCCA